TGGGTAGCTGGCTATGATCCAGAAGTGACTACAACCTTGGCCCTTGTCAGCTCTACTATACCCTTGGCAATTCTTACAGAACATACAAACACACTTGTAGAACCATTGTCTGCCAACCGTATACATGGTCTTGGGTACACTGTGTGTCTCTTACCTCACAAAAATCCAAACCAAGCTCACTGCAATGAACACGGGTGTGCATGTATCTAATTATGTCCTGGCTTTCACTTCTTTAGGATATATTTCCAGTAGTGGACTTGCTGGATAAAATAGTTTGTCTGTTTGCAACTTTTTAAGGAAGCATCATACTGTTTTCCACAGTGGTTGTACCATTTTACAGTGTCATCAGCAGTATATTAGAGTTCCAATCTCTCCATATCCTCACCAGTATTTGTTGTTTTCTGTCTTGCTGAACTCTGCTATTATTGCTGGGGTGAGGTAATATCTCATTGTTGTTTTGATTTGCATCACTGTAATAGCTAATGACTGCAAACATTTCTTGTTTGTTGGCCATGTAAATGTTTCTTTGGTGAAGTATCTGTTCATGTCCTCTGGCCATTTTTAAATTGGATTGCTTGTCTTTTTGATGTTGAGGTATTGAATTTTTCTATAAATTTTGGAGGTTATGTCCCTTGCCAGATATACCAGTACCAACTTTTTTTCCCAATCAGTAGATTCTCTTTCAACTCTTTTGAAGAAGTCTTTTGATGCACATAAGAATTAAGTTTTCAGAAGGTCCCAGTCATCTCATTTATCTATTGTTTTCTGGACATGTTTGGTCATGTTTGATATTCTATTTATGCACAAATTAGGGCCAATAAGTTTGCCTTTATATTTCTTTGATGAGCTTTATAGTTTTAGTTTTTACATTTAGGTCTTTGATCCATCTTGAGGTCGAGTTTTGTGTATGGTGTGAGGTACAGATCTTGTTTCATGGATATCCAGTTTTGTCAGTACCATTTGTTAAACAGATTATCTCTTCTCCATTTAACAGGTTTCAGCTCTTGGGTAAATCCATGTATAGGGTCATATATCTACAAATGGGAATAGTTTTCCTTCTTCCTTACCAATATGGATGCCTTTTCTTTTCCTTCCTTGACTTACTGCCCTGGCTAGGACTTCCAATATAGTTGAACAGCAGTTGTGATAGAGGGCATAACTGTCTGGTTCCCATTCACAAAGGGAATGCTTTGAGTCTCTCTCCATTGAGAAGAATGCTGGCTGTTTGTTTTGTATATATGTTCTTTATTATGTTGAGGGATTTCCCTTTTATTCCTATTTTGCTAGTAGTTTTAATCAAGATTTTCATCAAATGCCTTCTCTGCATTGATTGATATGACCATCTAATTCTATTTGTTTGTTTTATGTAATGGACTACATTGATTCTTTTTCCAAAATACAACCATCCTTGCATATCTTGTATGAATCCCACTTGTTCATGGTGTATTGTATTTTTGATACAGTGCTGGATTCTTTTGGCTATGATTTTGTTGAAGATTTTTGTATCTATATTTATGAGAGAGATTAGTCTATAATATTCCTTTTTAGTAAGTATCTCTGCTTGGTTTTGGGGTCAGGGTTATACTCATTTAATAAAATGAATTCGGGAGTATTCCATTCTTTTCTATGTTCTGGAAAGTTTGAGTAGGATTGATGTCAGCTCCTTTCTGAATGTTTGACAGAATTCTCCAATGAAGCTGTCTGGACCAGGGCTTTTATTTGTTGGTGATTTTTTTATGACCTGTTCAATTTCTTCTTTTGTTATAGGTCTATTCAAATTTTCTACCTCAGTCTGTGTTAATTTAGGTAAGTAGTGTGTTTCTAGAAAAGTGTCCATTTCTTCTAGGTTTTCAAATTTGCTGGAGTACATATCTTCATAATATTGTGATATTATCCTTTTTATTTTGATTGGTTCTGTTGTGACATTGGCAATTTTATGTCTTATTCGTGTTATCTGCATCTTCTTTTTTCTTTGTTAAATTTGCCAGTGGTTTGTTGATTTTATTGTTGTTGTTGTTGTTATGTGCCATCAAGTTGGACCCGACTCATAGCGACCCCTCCTTGGGTTTCCGAGGCAGTATCACTACGGAAGTAGACTGCCCAACCTTCCTTTCGAGGAGTGGCTGGTGGGTTTGAACCACCAGCTTTCTGGTTAGCAGTCAAGTGCCTTAGGCACTATACTACCAGAGCTCCTTTGATTTTATTAGTCTTTGCAAAAAACCAACTTCTAGTCTTGTTGATTCTTTCAATTGTTTTTCTGTTTCATTAATTTCTGCTCAAAATTGTTATTTCCTTTCTTCTGGTGAATACAGACTTTTTTTTTTGTTGCTCTATCTAATTGTTTTGTTTTTTTACCTAATTGTTGATGATGCTGGGTTAAGTTGTTAATTTTGGCTCTCTCTCTTTTTTTTTTTTTTTCTTTTCTGATGTGTGCATTAAATGCTATATATTGCCCCGAGTACTGCTTTCACTGTGTCCTAATGATTTGGGTATGTTGTGCTCTCATTCTTGTTTGATTCTGGGAATTATTTTATTTTCCTTCTATTATCCAGTAATTTTTAAGGAGGGTGGTATTCAGTTTTTGTATGTTTGCTTTTTCTTCCTTGCTCTTCCTATTGTTGATTTCTAATTTCATAGCACTATGACCTGAGAAGATGCTGTGCAGTATTTTGATGTTTTTAAATTTCATTCTCCTGCTCAAAACTCTCCGGTGGCTTTCTACTACACTGAGAACAAAATCCAAAGTCCTTAGAATGACTTCTAAGACTCTACAAGACCATGCAAGATTTACCCTGACCTTCTGACCTCATCTACTAAAAAATTCTATTCTTTCTCATTTCAGTGTACTCTTAGTACACTGGCTTTATTAGCATTCCTTTAGCATACCAACCACACTCTTACCTTAGGGCTGTCACACTTGCTATGGGTCTGCCCCAAAATCTCTTTTCCCACATGCTTTCATGGCTTTCTGTCTCATTTTATTAAGGTCTCTACTCAGATGTTTATCACATTTGCAAGTTCCTTACTATCATCCTATGTAAAATACTAACCTCTGCCCTCTCTATTCCATTTACTGCTTTAAAACTACCTGAAATGACAAATTACATGATCATTTTCACTGTAATCTGTTTTCAACTTAGGAATGTAAATTTCAAATGGGCAGGGCATTGTCTTCTTTATCACTGTGTCTTCCTTGTCCAGAACAATACCCATACTGTATTAGTTTGGTATAAATATTCAGTATGTATTTGCTGAAGGAATGGATACTGATGTACTGTGCATTCATCTACCTAGGAGACTAGGTAGATGGAGGTACTAATAAGGAAAGGAAATATAAGAGGGAAAGGTAATTAGTTCAGTAATAGACAAAGTTAATTGAAATTTCCAGAATTAGAGATGTCCATCAGATTGTGGAGTATGGCACCAGAGCTTAGAAGGTGGGGTGTGCTGGTGGCATAGTGCCTAAGGCATTTATTTGACTGCTAACCAGAAAGCTGGTGGTTCAATCCCACTCCTTGGAAGGAAGACTGGGCTATCTACTTCCATAGAGATACTGCCCTGGAAACCCAAGGAGCAGTTGCTTGGTAGGCCATAGTTAAAGACAGATCTGGAGACTCTTTACTAACTGTATGACCTATGACAAGTCATTTACCATGTCAGATTCAATTACCTGATATATAAAAAAGTAAGAATTATCACCTTCCCTTTTCTTATCCAGGTTTATTTTAAATATTAAATGGAATAAAACACATACAATCATGTATAGAACTATAACATAATAACAACTACCATTTACTTAGGGTTTTTCATGTGGCAGTCATTGTGATAACACTTTAGTTAAGAAATTTGCTGAGATAATTTAGGGAAGTTTCTGAGGTTAAACAGTTACAGAAATACTGATTATTATAATAATAAAGTTGAAGAAAGTAACATTTACTGTCACAAAACAAAATAAATATGAAGGTAATTAAAGAATCTAGTTTCCAAATTAGAATCAGTTCTTTTAAATCATGTTAATTCATCTTGACTATCTGGAGACAAAGCTTAAAACTTTAGTTTTGTAGCTCACTGCTCTGGCTGATATGAGATCAACCAAAAAAACCAAACTCACTGCCATTGAGTTGATTCTGACTCACAGCTATCCCTTTTGGGTTTCCAAGGATTGCCCAGTCTTCCTTCCAAGGAGTGGCTGGTATGTTTGAACTGCCAATCTTTGGTTAGCAGTCAAATGCCTTAGGCAGTATGACACCAAAGCTCCTTAAAATGAGACCAGCCATTTCTTCATTTTCAATCAATCTAGTGTAAAATAAGAATTTACCATTCTACGTAACATGATAATAAATAACTAATCCAGCTTTAAAACTCTAACTTTTAATGAAATATTCTCAAAAGATATAATAAATTCCTGCAAGACATCTGTTAATGTGTTTTCCTCTGGCTCAAAACAAATCCCGTAACATATATCCAAAAAAGAGAGACTATAAAATATCTGAAAGAGCTGAATGTTACTAGTAAAGGCTATACTTCATGTAACTTTTTCACAAAGTATGTGAAGCATGATCAAATATTACTTGATGGTTCATATTAAAATATAGTGATTTTAGGATATTACTTGTGCCATTAAGGAGCTCTGGTGGTGCAGTGTTTAAAGTATCCAGCTGCTAACCAAAAGGTCAGCAGTTCGAACCCACCAGCTACTCCATGGGAGAAAGATGAGGCAATCTACTTCTGGAAACATGTACAGCCTTGGAAACCCTATGGGGCAGTTCTACTCTGTTCTATAGGGTTTGCTGTGAGTTCTAATCAACTCATGGCAATGGGTGGGTATCTGTGCCTTTTAAACTAAAGGCTGAAGAATTAAAAGTCTGTGGATTGGGTTTCAAACTATAAAACTGAGAATATGATTATTTCATCAATACATACAGTCATCCACAAATTAGATTCAGTTAGACTACTTAAATAATTTTAAATATATACTAACATTTCATTACGGTACTTACCTTTGAAGATCCATTTGAATACATCTGTATCATGTTCTCTGCACCTTGTTTTACTTTAAGTTCTATATCCAACTGTTTTTGTAAGGCCATCAATCTATTATTACTAGTAGAACAACGAGGGTCACTATTTGGAGTATCTGGAGTCCTTGGACAATCTGGAAATTAAACATTATGATAAAATTACTTACTAGGCCCAACTGCTGTTGAAAACTAGAAATATATTCAAAAAATGAAGAATCACAGGATTTGGGATGAGCACAAAGTCACCTAAATTGAATATCCTTATGTTTTCAGATAATACAAGTATTCAACTAACTCAAGCAAAGGAAATGATTCAAGTGCAGTTGTAGAACCATCTGTCAAGGATACTGTGGAAGTGATTACACTGAATGGGAAGTTGAACCAGATGATACCCAAGGTCTTTTCTAACACTTAAGTCCCCAGGTTACAAATACCTGACTTATGGACAACTTGTACTTGAACAACTGAACGAACCCCTTACAACATTTCTTCATCACAATCACCATCACTAGATGCATACACAGCTTTTACATCAATGAAAATGCTTCAAGCCTTTTCTTGTTCTAAAGGAAGGCTAAATAAGAACCTTTGCACCTGTTCCAAATTACCTCCAAATTTGACTTAAAGACACACTCAGGAAGAGATCTCCCTCATAATCTGGGGACTGCTGGGCAATCCTACTTCCGTAGTGATACTGCCTCGGAAACCCAAGGAGGGGTCGCTATGAGTCGGGGCTGACTCGACGGCAAATAACAACAACAGCCTATACAATTATTTTTTCAAGTAGATCAAATCAATTTGACTAATCTATTAAACAATTAAACTATACTCCCTACTTATTACCTGACTGGTTAGAGAAGGCATAATCAAATATTATACAAAATCCACTAAAGTAATTCTTTATAAACAGAACTAAGGGAAGGAGAAATACAGCACTAGTATTGAGCATAATCATGAAAGTCTTCATGTTTTGTTTTCTACTATGAGGATATTCAACCACAACAGAAAATGTATCTAAGATACAGAACGGATGTATATCAAATTGATGAGGGAAGGGCAGTAAAATCAAATAAAAAATTTAAGTCCATGGCTTCTCATAAAGCATACTAAAATGCTTCTTAAAAAAAAAAAAAAAAAAAAGCATAAGACTGTAACATAATAAAAACTTCAAAAACGACCACGTAATTACTCCAGGTAACTCATTATTATTTAAACACAATAATTCTACCGTGTAACTAAAATTCCTCATAATGAAGTTCATTATTTTGTGTTTTATCCACAAAAGGTCCATAACTTATAAAAATAAAAACTAGGCTAGGGTACTAAGACCTGGTTCAGGTGATAATGAAACTGGTAATCACTGTAAAATGGCCAATCTCCAAATTATTTAACGTCTGCTCTTCAGGGTAACCACTTCTCCCTCTGCAATAAAAGGTGGTCTGAATAACGGGTTTCAACATATATATTTCGTATTTAAGGATGATATTTGTTTAAACAATTACTAATTTACAAATGTTGTTGTTGTTATGTGTGCTTGAGTGGGACCCAACTCATAATGACCCCTCCTTGTGTTTGAACTGCCAGCCTTTTGGTTAGCAGTCAAGTGCCTTAGGCACTATGCTACTAGAGCAACATAAAACATAATTTTTACTAATTTATAAAAATATATATACCATGTTAAATACTGATGTAAAATAATAATACTTTACTTAACATTTATATATAACACCAATGACCAAAGACTGGACAAGCTGTGGGAAGACAGCAAGGATAACACATATGAAGAAAGCAAAAGGTCTTTAAAAACATGGCAAGGAAAGAAAAGACCAAAATGGATGTCAGAAGAGACTCTGAAACTTGCTCTAGAATAGAGAGAAGTTAAAGCTAATGGAAGAAAGAAATCAGTAAAAGAGCTGAACAGAAGATTTCAAATGATGGCTCCAGAAGACAAAGAAAAGTATTAGAATGAAGTGTGTAAAGACCTGGAGTTAGAGAACCAAAAGGATAGAGCACACTTGGTATTTCTCAAGCTGAAAGAACTAAAGAAAAAGCCCAAGTGCTTGAGTTGTAATATCGAGGGATTCTATGAGCAAAGTATTGAACATTGTAGGAAGCATTAAAAGAAGATAGAGGGAATAAACAAATATTGTACCAAAAAGAATTGGTTGATGGTCAACCATTTCAGAAGGCAGCATGTGATCAAGAATCAATGGTACTGAAGGAAGAAGTCCAAGCAGCACTGAAGGCACTGGTGAGAAATGAGGCTCTAGGAATTGATGGAATTACCAATTTGGATGTTTCAACAAATGGATGCAGTGCTGGAAGTGGTCACTCATCTATGCCAAGAAATTTGGAAGATACTTATCTGGCCTACCAACTGGAAGAGATCCACATTTGTCCCCATTCTTAAGAAAGGTGATTCAACAGAATGCAGAAATTACTGAACATTATCATTAGTATCACACCAAAGTAAAATTTTGCTAAAAATAAGTTTTAAATGGTAGCAGCAATACACAGACAGGGAACTGCCAGAAATTCAAGCCGGATTCAGAAGGAAACATGGAACAAGGGATATCATTGCTGATGTCAGGTGGATCCTGCCTGAAAGCAGAGAATATCAGAAAAATGTTTACCTTTGTTTTTTTGACTCCATTCTCTGGAGAATGTACTATGCTTGGTAAAGAAGAGGGTTAGTGAAAAAGAGGAAGTCCCTCAAGGAGATGGACAGACACAGTGGGTGCAACAATGCACTCAAGCATAGCAACAACTGTTGAGTGTGACACAGGGCTGGGCAGTGTTTCATTCATTATTGACTATGCAAATACAATACACTATGTGGATCATAACAAGTTACAGATAATATTGGGAAGAATGAGAATTCCAGAATACTTAATTATGATCATTAAGAATCCATACATACATTAAGAAGCAGTTGTTTGGACAGTGCAAGGGGATACTGTGTGGTTTTAAATCAGGAAAGGTGTGTGTTAGGGTTGTACCCTTTCACCATACATATTCAATCTGTATACTGACCAAATAATACGAGAAGCTGGACTATATAAAGAAGAACATGGCATTTGGATTGGAGGAAGACTCATTAACAATACGCAGATGACCTTGCTGAAAATGAAGATGACTTGAAGCACTTACTGATGAAAATCAAAGACAACAGTCTTCAGTATGGGTTACATCTCAACACAAAGAAAACAAAAATGCTCACAACTTGAACAATAAGCAGTACCATGAAAAATGGAAAAAAGATTGTAGTTGTCAAGAATTTCACTTTTCTTGGATTCATAGTCAACATCCGTGGACACAGAAGTCAAGAAATCAAACAACGAATTGCATTGGCAAATCTGCTGCCAAGACCTCTTTAAAGTGTGAAAGAGCAAAGATGAAGCCTAACATGGGCCTCACCAAAGCCATGGCATTCTCATTCACCTCATATGTTTGTGAAAGCTGGACAATGAATAAGGAAGACAAAAGAACTGATGCATTTGAATTGTGGCATTGGCAAAGAATAGTGAACATACCATGGTGTACCAGAAAAACAATCAAATCTGTCTTGGAAGAAGAACAACCAGAATGCTCTTTATAAGTCAAGATGGTGAGACTTTGTCTCTTGTACTTTGGTCATTATCAGAAGGACCATTCTCCCTGGAGAAGGATATTATTGTTGTTGTTATATGCTGTCAAGTCAGACCTGACTCATAGCAACCCCTCCTTGGGTTTCCTAGGTGGTACCACTAAAAAGTAGATTGCCCAACCTTCCTTCTGAGGAATGGCTGGTGGGTTTGAACCGCCAACCTTTTGGTTAGCAGCCAAGTGCCTTATGTTTGGTAAAGAAAAGGAGAAATGAAAAAGAGGAAAAGTCTCAGTGAGATGGACAGACACAGTGGTTTCAACAATGGGCTCAAGCATAATAACAATTGTGAGGATGGTGCAGGACTGGGCAGTATTTTGTTCTGTTGTATACTGGATCACAATGAGTCAGAACCTATTCGACAGCACCTAACAACAACGGCAATAACATACAACTTACTAGATACAAAGCCTGACCTAAGTGTTTTTACAAATATAAACTCATTAATCTGCATAAACAGCCCTGTGATGAGTATTATATCCACATTACAAATACTACTAGGGCATAAAGAGGTTAAGAAACCTGCCCAATGTTATACAGCTAGTAAATGGCAGAATCTGGATTTGAACCCAGTCAGTTCAGGCTCTGAAGTCTATCCTCTTAATTGTGCTATGCTACTGAGAGTACCATTATGCTATGCTGCCTGTTTGACATGTAAGCTGCCCTTCTTCTATAAGAGGGAGATTAAGTTTCTAGGAAGTCTTTGACTAGTAACTTTTCCCATCCCGGCTATCTTTCCACCTCATCATGACTTTAAAAATTCAATTCTATTCCAGTGACACTTACTCTGCCATGAGTGAGCTGGGCAGAATGGGCTCAAAGCCCTGACAAATTCTTAAAGACAGTTAGAAACAGATCTCATTCGTAACCCGGGGACTACCTGTATGTTGCTTAGAAATTGATCTTTTGAAGCAGCTCATTTCTAATTTGATGAATTCAGTGAACAACGAAATCTCTTGCCCTCAGATTCTGAGTTTAGCTTGAAGTACTGCTCAAAGATAGTAGCCAAATGCACTGCTTTAAATGTGCCACTCTCCTAACGTGCTGTCAATAATCCAATCTCATGCATCAGTATCCTGTAAGGGCTCATTATACCTCTTCAAGTCTCCCATTTTACAGCTTCAATCCATAACTTTTCCCATCCTGGATACTGTGCCAAATCTGCCAAACTGTAAAATTTTGGATCCTTTCCTGTTTCACTCTTTGGCCACAAGAGAACCAATTTAAAGGGCAAATAGGAGCTGTCTATAAGTTAGATGTTCGTAACCTGGGAACTTCCCAGGTATTCTTACAGAAAACTATTATGAAAGGTAGATAGGTTCTTAGATCAGGTCACAAAAGAACTACAGGTATACAGAGGAGATGTTGTGGGTTCAGTTCCAGCCCACTTCAATAAAGTGAGTATTTCAATAAAGTGAGTCACATGAATAGTTTCCCAGTGCACATGAAAGTTATTTTTACACAATACTGTACTCAATTAAGCGTGCACCA